CTGGGTTAAAGGATCAAGGTAAAATACCCCAGGGGCTTGGTAAGAGCAGACTCGCACAACATTTGATGGTATATGGGGGGGCGAGGGATGGGAGTGGAGGAGGTTACAAGGGGAGTGCGGCGCCTGCGCCATTAAATCGCCTCGGGACTGCCCAGAGCCCAGCCTCGGAGTCTGTGGACAGGGCCCAGGGAAGGCACTCACCTCACCCACGTCCATCTCCCGGCTCACCTCCCCCTGCCCCCAAACACACAGTGCTTCTCTCTCGACCATCATTCTCCTTAAACCCTACCCTCATTTTGAAAATGGGGAAGGGGTGCCAAAGAAGAATACGAGACATGCAATCACATGGATAGTTTAGAGGCTTTGGGTTAAAAAACAAAAGGGAGGAGGCAGAATCGAAGAGAGGAGTGGGAGGACCACGCAGTTTATCTTGCCCAAAGTAGCTCAGAGAACCCCAAACACCCACCTCATTGCCCTCCCCCTCCCCCATATGCCAGATGCCCGAGGGCGCTCGGAGGCCCTCACTCACCGGAATCCCGCGTGGAGCATGTACATTCGGGGCGCCCCCGGGCTGGCGTACTTGGAAGTGGTGAAGATGTTCTCCTTTTTCAGGGATACGTAGCTGATGAGCGATAAAATCAGCAGGGCAACACTGAGCATGACCAGCCCCAGCACACTGGCGACCCGGGCCATTTTGCAATTTCTCATCCCGGGCTGGGCTGGGCTGGGATCAGGAACAGCGGGGAAATCGGTCCATTGAGCAGCCAGCAGCTCGCTGGCGTGTCAGGCGTGTGTGTTCTCGCGCGTGTCAGCGTGTGTGGCGGGGCTGGGGGGAGGGGACCGGGTCGGGGAGCCACAGAGGCAGGAGGAGGTGTGGGGGTGGGCCAGGGCCCCAGAGAGAAATGGGACCCTCAAGGCTGGGTGAGCAGGCGGGGAAGCTGAGCAGGAAGATGGAGGGTCTGCGCTGCCGCGCCGATAGGGAGGATAGGGAGTGCGCAGCGCTGTGCGTCTGGGGCTGCAGGCTCAAGCTCCCCCGCGCGTTTCCAGCGAGGCTGCCATCTCCTCCGCCGCCTGCAAGATAAATGTGATTGGAATAATGTTACAGTTCGATCTAAGCACAGGATTTAATTAATGAACTCTAATCTCCCAAATAACCCGGGATGGGGCGGGAGAGGGGGAAGAGTAGGGGAGGTGGTGAAGGGAGGGAATTGAGGCTGGAAGGCTGCAGCCCACGTCAACAACCTCCTGCTGAGGGGTGCATGTGAAGTGGTGGCTGTAGAAAGAGGCCCTAACTTAGTTAATGGACCATTCATTACTTTATAAATATATCAGAGAATAGGGATACAAATAACTGGATTTGCTATTCTGGAGGATACACACCAGCTGGGTGCTTCTGAGATGCAGGGAGAGTAGTTTTAGAAAGGCAGACATTTAAAAACTTCTCTCTTCACCACGAAGGCACTGCCCTAGACCCCACTGGGTAGCACTCTCCCCAGCTCCCCAGCAAGGAAATCCTAACCAGCCGGCCCAACCTGCCTTGTGAGTAAAACCTCCTTGGGCCCTAGCTGGTTTGGCTCAGTGGGTACAGCATCAGCCTCCCGGGTTCAATTCTGGTCAAGGGCACATGCCTGAGTTGTGGCCTCGATCCCCAATGGGGAGTATGCAGAAGGAAGCCAATCAATTATTCTCTCTCATCTTTGATGTTTCTATCTCTCTCTCCCTCCCCCTTCCTCTCTGAAATCAATAAAAATATATTTACCTCCTTGGAATTTTCCAGAATCTCTCATCTGCCTTCCATGCTCACTACATACTTTGCTCCTCGGCAAAAGATGTGCAGTGCCTAGTGAAGTTCTGGCTGCCCCTGCCCTGTCCACAGCCTGCGGTCCCAGCACACAGAAGGTGGCCAACAGGGTGGGGCTGTGTTCACCAGCCTGGAGCATTCTCCCTGATCTAACTGCATTCCCCACATTTCTGACTCATCCCTGTGGCCAGACCTTGGGAATGGGCCACCGCACAGTCCTGAGAAGCCAAGAAGCTGAAGGCATTATACATCTTGTCCATTATAAATGCATGGACCTCTCTTTTGAAGGAGCCCACGAACTAGGCTGCCTCTGAAGGTGGAAAGGAAGCCTAATACTTTGTGTTGCTTGACCTTCAGTTTGTTTTAGCATATTCATATGTTGCCTGTTTTAATAACCATTGGAAACAAAAATTAATCCATTTTCAGTCAGGCTGTTGTGTGCTCAGAGGCAAGCCACATGTGTCTTTTTAAAATATATATATACATTTTTATTGATTTCAGAGAGGAAGGGAGAAAGAGAAAGAGAGGTAGAAACATTGTTGGGAGAGAGAGAATTATTGATCAGCTGCCTCCTGCATGCCCCCCACTAAGGACTGAGCCCACAATCCCGGCATGTGACCTCCTGGTTCATAGGTTGATGCTCAACCACTGAGCCATGCCAGCCAGGCACATATGTTTCTTTATCTCTGTTCTTTGCAGTAAGCTTGTGGCTTCTTCGACCCTAGCTTTACCCTTGGCTTGGCCCTCTCAATACTGGTCAATAAACACACATGAAAGAAGCTGGAGATGAGAAATTGGCCTTTAAGAGCCTTTTCCAACAAAGCAAGTTGATCTTTTCCAAGTTGGTCATGATTTCTTTCTCTCCTGAACTTCTTGCTGTACTGGCTTTGGAGGAACTAATGTTCTGGTCTGTCTGTGAGCCAAGGCCATGTGGTCTTCCTCCCTGTTTCCATGTGCTGCCAGCAACAGTCTCATTAGAGGGCATGCTTAATAAATGCTTGAGGACCAAATGAGCTCCCTTGTGAAACTCATCTGTCTGGTTATGGACAGCCAGTGACATACATTATACAATTGTATGTTTCCAATGACAAAGAGAATCAGTCATTTTGTACCCACTGTAGACATTTTATACAAAAATTTTAAAATGTGGGTCAAGAGGACATAATCTTTCCCTCATGGGGCATTTTATTATAAAATTTTTTTTAGAAAAGTTCTGTTCTTCTGTACATGATGAATATTGAATCATATTTCTTGAATAATTATTATAGCTTTTAAAGAGAAAGGATCATATGAGTATAGTATAAAATGCCAAAAGGAGTAAGATCTTATGAGAACTGTCTAGGAATTACACATGCTGGGAAAACTCTTCTTGAGCAAGAAGTCAGTGAACAAGCCTAGGGCAATGGTTACACCTTCAGGCTCCAGAGCCAGCAGACTTGACTTCAAAAGCTTACGCTGGCACCCTTGAGCCATATTACCTTGGGTAAATTATCAACCTCTCTGTGTGTCAGGCTCCTCATCTGCAGAACCAGAATAAAAACCTCGCAGGAATTGGGGGAAGATTAAGCACGGCATGTCAAGGGGTTGGCCCAGCTCCTGGCCTGCATTAAGCAGTTAATACATGTGAGCTAAAATGGCTAGGGCAAGTTTTTAGTGTCTTTCTTTGACCCCATACATGTCCTACTACAAAATGCATAGGGAAGCACATACTTGGTGGGGCATTTTCATATGGAAAATAGCAAAGATCAAGAAGCTCTTGGGTTCTCTTTGTAAAATGGTGTTATAAGCTTTCCTTGGGGCCTATGATATGGACTCATTCTGCCTGGATTTAAAAACTGATCTATTACTTATACTTAGCTCGTCTCTGTGAACCTAAGGAAAGTCCTACTAGGGTGATTCCTATATTGCATGTAAGTTACTGAAAGCCATGTGACGTAAAGGAACTAAATTAGCCAGAAAATAAACAGGCAGACAGGAACCCTTGCCACAGATGCCAGGCCTAGAGGTGAAAATGGGTTGCTCAGTAATTACCAGAGTGGAAAATCCAGGGGATGGTGCTTCGAAGAACAACTGCAGCAGCTGGACAGAGGACTTCTCACACTGGGATGACAGCTACCTAGTGCATTAAAACCTCGTTAGGATATTTAAAAAATGAAATCAGACTTGTACAAGAGTATAGGAGGGTGAACACAAGAAATACAGAAAGGAAAGACCCCCTCTGACATAATGTTTTTTTAGGGGCGGGGGTTATTTTAGACACAGCACTTCCCTCTCCAACCCCCATGAGTGCCCATCTTTTGCAAATACGGCTCTGTTGACATGTACAGTCTCTTAACAACCAAGAGTAACTTCTGCACATGGATGGGGAAGGTGGTGTCTTTTGTTAGAAGCAGCTCGATTCATTCATTTAGTTCTGTTTTCTTTCATCAATGTATTAAATAAAGTATATGGTTATCAGGCACCATACTGGGTAGATATAGAGGCTATAAAATCACCCTTAATCTCATAATGCTTATGGTCTTATGGGGAGTGAGGAGTAAGCAGTCCTGTGTGAGGAGCTCAGCAACAGGAGGCTGGTGAGAGAACTACGGATTGAATTCTACCTGTGGAAGGCTGGCAGGTTCTTCACAGAGGATAACATCTGAGTTTTAAAGCGTGAGTAGGATTAATTAGGTAAGAAGGTGAGGGGACTAGGAGGCAGGGAAGAGGATGGTAGATTTGGGGAACAGCATGAGGCATGAGGTGACTGTCACAAAAGAAGAGCCTAAAAAGGGAGTTGGGGTCAGACTGTAAAGAGTCTTGGAGGACATGCTAAGGAGATGGCTGTGTCTTCTAGCGGCACTGCCGAGACCATCCAGTGTTTACAGAGAGGAGGGGCTCAATCTGATTTGCAGTGAATGGATGTAGGAGCAGCTGGAATCAGGCCCATGGGGAGGTGGAAACAGCAGCTGTTCTCTTGGACACCAGCTGATGTGTCCAGTGGCTCACCTGCCTGTCCACATGCTAGAAGCCCCAGTGTGTTGTAATCTATCAATGAACCAATTGATCATTTTCTGTTATGAGATACTTCTGGATAAGGCCTCAGGGGGGTTGATTTTGGAAGGGTGAGTGAGCTTGAGGGGAGTCCACTGGGGACCTGCTCTTTGGTTCCATGTGACTGGAGTTCTTTTGTACACAATTCCCTGACTTCTTAATTTCTGGTAGACCTAACAACGGCCACAGAGGAAAGATCTTGGAATAAATACTTTATGAGTTCAGAGGTTGGAAAAGCCATCATGGTCAAAAGCTCTCAGATGGAACTGAGACTAGAAAGATGCATGGAAGTTTCCAGAGACGGAGATGGCAACGGGCAGGGCAGGCAGGGAAAGTGGGTGGAACAAAGATGTGGAGGCGGAAGAGGGAAAGGCATGTTGGAGCCAGCGGCCAGATAAGCCCCCTTGGAGTAAAGTAAAAGTGGCCAAGATATAGCGAGCTCTTTTGGGGCCAGCTGCTTTTTAAACATTATTGGTATCTTTGCCCTGATCTGGTGAGGGAGATATACTTATCCTCACTTTATAGTTGAAGGAACTGGTGTTAAGTGTTGGCTCAAGGTTTCTGCTTTTGCATACTGCTTGCATGCAGGTCCTAGGACAGAGAGCTGGAAATGTGTGTGCACCTGGAAAGTTTGAAAGAAGCATCCTTTGGCAGTGAGAACCACTTAATACTACTGATAATGATGATGTCATTTCATATTTATTGCATACCTACTATGTGTTGGGTATTATATTAGGCAACTCATATAACTGAGCTCAATCTCTCTTATATCCCTTTGAGGATATAAGGACTGCCACCGTTTCAAGAATGAAAAACTGAGGCTCAGAGAGGGTAAGTAATTTGCCAAGGTCACACAGGTAGTGACTGCCTTGTATTCCATTGGTATTCCAGGGTCCAGAGGAAGAGGGGCTTAAATCTTCTCCCTTCATCATTGTGGTGTTACTGAAGAGAGAGTGCATACTAGGCTCTTTGAAAAAGCCATTTAGTCATAAGGGTGGAGGCTGGGGACAACAAGACAAAGGCCAGAGTGATATATCTGAAAAGCAGTGGACTTTTCTGGGGCTGGGAGAATGCTTGGTAGGGTTGGAGCCTCAGGATGGAGAGCCAGCCATCTGCTGGGGACAGTCAGGAGACAGCATCCTACCTTCACTGTACTATTTAGTGCCAGAACTGCTAATGCTCAGGGTGGAAAGAAGGCAGGGAACTTCTTTGCTCTACATTGTACCTGAGGTCCAGGCTTGGGCGAAGGTCGGTCTCCAGGACTGACTGGAGAGAAAGGTCATCCACCTGGACTGGGATGCATGAGTTGGCTTGCCTATCGAAGAGACCACATTTAATTAAATTAATTGGTTAGCTAAGCTAGGACAAAACGTAAAGCACAGGAGGGGTGCACTATGAGCAATCAAACTCCCTCCCATCTTTATCTCTGTAGAGATAACCACTGTTGCCGCTCAGAGATGCCCTGTGCATCCACGGCATATATGTTAAACACAAATTCTGAGGCCAGTGTGAAATGATGTTTATTTCAAGGTTTAGTCTGTATCTTTGCAAAAGACATTTGCATAATATTTTAACATTTCAGATGTTTGCAATAATTAGGTTTTCTTCGAAGCTGAGAAATTTTGCACCCACAGATGAATGCTTTCCTTAAAGCTCAGGGAAGTATTTCTGTTTGAAAGGAACACAGGAACTTTAAATAGCCTTTTCTTCATTGAA